CCCCCCCCTGGCGCCAAAGCTAGATCCGCCCTTGTATAAAGTATAGATATAGATTGAATAGTCTAGTCAAAATATACTCTTTTATGGTCCAAATGGTAAGAATTTAGTTCGATGACATCATTGGCGAGGCTCTGTATCAGTAATTATTGCACATTGTACAGCGGCTGAGGGAGGCGCACGATCTAAATTGGCCGGCTGCCAGCACCGTTCAATTGCTGCGCGGATAATTTTTATTCAGCGATTGTCACGACTACAAAAACTACATTTTCTATTGTTGCAAACGGTTCATTATTGACACAGAATGCGGCAAATGAAATCGTCAACAAACTAAAATCCACTCCTAGTGTATTATTTCTTTAATTTTACGAGAATAATTTAAGTTCCAACATCTGATCAACAACTCTAGTGTAATGCATATGTATCCTAATATTATAAGGAGGAATAATTTGTGTTTTTGTACGTATTGCAATAACTCAAAAACTACTAAGCCGACTTCAAAAATTCTTTCACCATCAAAAGGCCACTTTATCAATGACTACCATATGCCAGGTTTTTCCTATTTTTCAATTCCACGCTGACAGAGTTGCGGGCGAAAGCTAGTAATTCATATAGATGTAATCTTTGTGTCGTCAGTCATAAATGCACTAAGCACCGGATACCATAGCAATGAGATAATCCAACACGCGTCCGCTAAACTAAAATGCTGTATGTAGAGACTGTTGTCAGAGCATATATGCCATATGCCAAGGTCAAATGAAGGGAGATATTTTGCACATGTTTTGCGTCGTGCAACCATAGTTTTATAAGAAAATGCGGCTTATGCATATAACATTTGAGAGGCAAGAAAAACTGTTTAATTATACTAAATTCAATTGGAAACATGCCTTGGATTTTAATAGGATTCTTATTATTCGTATAGGGATATGGTTAGATTGGCATTATAAAAACTTTACGCAATCTCCTAAGTATCATCGCAGATAGTAATGATTAGATTATATATCTGTCATATCAATGGTAATCATAATATCAATCGATATAAACCAACAAGGACATTATATTGCATTTTATGTAAATTTACTTAAGATGTCAAAAGGTTAAGATTGTATTTTTATAAACCTACTGGTTTAATCAAATAATATCATTTTTTTTATAATTCTGTGCTTTAATTCTCTATACCGGCGTATTTTGTAATCAAGACAACATAAGCATGAAAATCATAAGTGGTTAGCGAGGCGCGGGGCCGCAGCTGGCGACTTGCCAGGGCTATTCCTGTACCATTACGCGCTCCAGCCAATTAGTTAAACAAACATTACTAAACACTATACAATTATTCACACTATCAATTGAGTTTGAAAAGGTTTAGAGCCTGTCCCACCACTGGCTGAGAAGCTTATAGCTTAAAATGACTATCAGATAAAGTAACAACATTTTACACGTTCGATTGTTATGTGACAATTTACAAGAATTTGGTAGAACTGACTATTAAAAAACTGTCAAAGCTTTAGGTTTAGATGGTATTATAAATATATGACAACATTTATTTATTGACCACCGATATAACATTAGATGTTTAATGTGCTTGTGCAGTTTCGAAAACCATACTATTTGTTCGAAATCCAAAAAATATTTACAGCAAACTCTATATTGGTTTCTTAGTATTTTTTTTGTTTGTCGTGTCAACGTTATGACATTTAGCCTGAAGAGTGACCGGCGTAGGCAGTTATTCCTGCCGATGGATTTATGTTCGGCGCGGCCCACTCGATATCACCGACATTTCACGTTAACTTTGCACGACGCTTATCTTTCCATCCTGTGACCTAACTCATGTTACTAAATGAAATTTTTTTAATGATAAACCAGAATGTTATTATTGAATGAACATATTAGGGTCGAATTGGCTTTTTGTTATTACATAAAAAAGAGGAAAAATAGAAACTCACAAAGGCCCCGGCGAGATTCGAACTCGCGATCTCCTGTTTACTAGACAGGCGCTTTAACCAACTAAGCCACGGCGCCGTTGGACAGCGCAGCGAAAATTTTCCCTTCATTCGTACCACATGTGTTAATACTGACTTAAATCAACTAAAACATTTTTTTACATCGCGTAATTTAATTAAGCTTGCTTTATTACTTAAGAAAACCTACGAAAAATCGCTTTTAACTCAATCAAAACAGTTAATCTCTACTAGGACATACAACATAATATTTATATATTACGCAGTATAGTTTTATCAGAAACTGGGCTATTTTCGTGTAAACAGTTACTCAATATAATTGTAGAGAAGTTATTCGCGCGATGATAAGAGCTTGAACTTTTATCAATAAAACGATATCGTATCTCATATAACCTTGTTCTTGTTATATACAGAAATACGAATTAATATGTGTTTATAAAACTTGATATTTTAAAGACATCGAATCGTATCTGACATAAGATCACAAGGCCTGCAGAATAAAATTTTGACATTAAAAAAACCAATAAAACATCTGACGACTTGTTTGAAATGAATCACCTAACAATAACTAAGGCTTGATTTCTAGTACTTCCAGATGTTGACAGCAATGCATTTGCTCGTACTCTAATAGGGTAAGTAACAATAAAACAAACGGCAGAGAATAAGAAAATAACTCAATGAGAACATATGGATCAAATTTTCGAGAACAAATAGAGGCATAGGTACCATCATTGTGGTTAGTACTGACCTTTGGGTGTATGTGTGGTGTTGAGGTCCTTGTGCAGGCGCTGCTCGAGGTCATCAACAGCGGCGGCAGCGGCAGCCTCCAGGCGCTGCGGGGAGAGCGAGGCGCCGCCCGACGACTCCGAGGACCACTCGCCCGCCTCCCCGCCCTCCCCGCACGCGGGCGAGCCCGACCCCGAGCCCCCGCCGCCGCCCCCGCCCCCGCCCGCCGGGCATTTGTGCCGCTTGCGGTATTCCGTTATAGAGAGCTAGTTATAAGACATAAGTAAGCAAATGTCACCAACAGATAAGAATGACTACCACTAGTATTAAAAAAAAAGGTTTAGAAATTCAAGCAACAATCAATTCTGCTTCTTTTAAAAATGAATAAAGTTTTATAAAACTGTGCAAATTAAATTATCTATATGCGAACTTGCATAGCATTTAAGTTGCCATAAGGTTTATCATTTGCTACAGGAGATAGAGTTATGCATATGAACAATTTATCGTTTAACAGATTTAGTTCAATAAATAGTTTTCAATCAATGTAATGTAACAACACTCTTTAGCATGAAGTTGAACATTTTTAAAGCTGCCAGAGATTGCAATGCTTACATGCATTATAGCTAAAACATACATATAGTTTATAACTTTTACAATGTATTTTTAACGATATAGATGCAAGACTATGATTAAAAAGTTATAATAACTACCTAGTATCTAGAAAAATAATATTCAATCTACATTTTGTACATATATGTAGTGAATTAAGTGATATCCATTGATATTTAATTAAAAGTGAATGGCACAACATTTGAGTTTTACAAATGTCGCCGCAAACCGACCTTGACCTTTACACATATCGGCTTGTTTACATTTATAGCACGGTAAATAAAGTTTTATATATTACGCGGCATTTGCACATCCCAATTTACATTATCGCTTATCGTTAAACAATGTTTAAAAGTGAAAATAATTCAGGTGCATATAAGATTTTGTCCGTTATACATCTAATAATATTTTCATTAGTCGTTAACCTCGTTTATATGGTGCGAGATGTCATGTGTCGGTTAGTGGAATTGCTCCTTACATACTTATACAAATTTACAGTTTAGCTAGAAATGTTTGTAGCGACTCACCTTCCTGCGGACGGGTTTAGGCTTGTCTGCGGGCGGCGGGTTGAGGCGCGGGTCGTAGCGCGCGCCCGCGTGCGGCTTGCTGGGCTTGGGCGAGGGCGCGGGCGTGGGCGAGGCGGAGGGCGCGGCCGAGGGCGCGGCGGAGGGCGAGGGCGAGGGCACGGGCGAGGGTGAGCTCTTGTTCGAGCTCTTGAGCACTCCCGACAACAACACACTATTGTTAGAGTCCATGTTATTCACGCGAGTCAATATCTCCTGAACACTTTTCAACTCATCCACCGGGGTGATCGGGTCCTTATCGAATAAACTATTGTCTAAACTTGTAGTCCTATCTATTGCACTCTTTATGACCGACATATTTGGTATGTTCTCGTTGATGGAACTGTCCAACTTGAACGAGTTAGACAGGTTGCTGAAGATGCCGGAGAAGAGTCCCGTCGAGCTGAACCGCGTCGAGAACGGCACGGTCGAGTCCAAGACTGATGGTCTTTCTGATAAAATGACCTCCTTTTCTTCAGGTTTGTGGGTTATAAGGGGCGATAGTTTAGCCTTGGTGAGTATTGGCGCGGCCACAGTCATGGGCTCCTCGGGCAGGGGGATGGTCTCGGGCGGCGCGGCGAGCGGCATGGGGCTGGGCTCCTCGGGCAGCGGGATGTTCTCCGGCGCGGGCACCAGCATGTCAGTGGCGGGCAGCGGTATGGTCTCTACGGGCGGCAGCGGGATGTTCTCCGGACACACGTGGATCTTCAAGTCGTCGTGAATGGAGTTGCTGTGCTCATCGTGCAGCTCTCCGTTTATTTCACAAGATTTTGAACACGTATCGTTTTCTGTCCGCAATTGAATACTGATCTGATCGTCCACCATGTTTAGGTCGAAATTGAGGTTGACCTTCTTCCGTTTCTCTTTCGGTGGCTTCTTGTTCCTGCTCTTCAGTATGAGTATGTTCTCTGTGTGGAATGAGTGTATTTTCTTCTGTATGTCGTCCATCTCGTCTCGCTGCGGGGAGGAGTTGCCGCTGGTGTCAGCGGACTGCGAGCTGTGCACTTTGTCGTTGGGGCTCTCTATTCCCCTCAGATCAGTAATACTGTTTTCGTTTGATTCTTGAATTTTTGCTTGAGTAATTATAGTCGTGTCTATCTCCATAGGAACGACTTTGTTGTAATTGCTCTCCTCCATTTCCAAGTTATTGTTGTTGGTATTTATGTCCTCTGGTTTGGTAAATTGTGGTGTTATTTCTTCTTCCGGAGTCGGAACTCCTATTATCCTTCTTATCTTTTCAGTATCGTGAGGCACTTTGATGTTGACATTCAAGAGGTCGTGGTCCATATTGCACTGGTCGTCGGAGCCCTGGCCGCTGTCGGAGCGGGTCCTGTCTCTGCTGTACATGCTCTCCATTATGTTACGTTTGTACTGTGTCCTTGTCATAGATTGGGGATCGTCTTTGACGGGGGAATCTTCTGAAGCCATATATGGAGATGTCTCCTCCATGCACTAAGAACAAAACATAATTGATTAATGATTTATACACAAATATATTTTAGTATTGAAAATGATTATAATACTTACATGGATAATAGGATTAGTTTCACAACCTAACGATTCTCTCGCTACTCTTCTTTTCTTCAGTGGTGTTACCATTTCATTCGGAGGGGATTCTGCAACAAACGGTTCTAAGTTTATCATAGATTATAATACTTGAGAAATTTTACATTTCATAGTAGGCAAATAAATAAGAAACTACAAACCTATCACAGGAGAGTCGCTTTCTTCACTAATGGCTTGTCTCAACCATCGTTTCTTAGCGCTGTGCTGTGGCAGTGCTGCGGGGACCACTTCCACAGGCTCCGTGGGAGTGCTGCGAGTTATTCTCTTGGCTTTCTTGGGTGGTCTATTGCGCTCCCTGCCCGGTGTTCTCGGCGGAGAGGTGGTCGGGGGTTCCTCGTGGTCCATATCCTGCCCTCCGCTGAGGTCGCCTATCATGGTGGAGGCCACTCTGACCAAGCTCTCCAGCGACGGTGCGGACACCAGAGCTGGTCTGTACGGTGAATGGTACGGTGACGGAGTACGTTCTGGAGACCGGCCTATCCATTCTGTAGCCATCGTTTTCTTAGTTTTTGGCAGTTTGAAAGCGGACTCAACTGAACCGACCGCCGCTTCTACTAGAAGACAAGCCGAGCTTAGGCCAATATCCTGAGAACAAAATGAAATTATCAACCACAACTAGATAAGTAACTTTTTTAAATATAGGATCAGGAAAATACCTCATTGATAATTTCATGTGGTTGTTCTTCTGCGGGGTGGTGAGGCGGGGCGGGTCTGTGCGGGGGCGAGAGCGGCTGCGCTTCATCCCCCGACGTCACCATGTCGCTGTCCGCGGAGTTGAGACGACGTCTGTTAGATTGCGACGTTGTTCTGGCACGACCCTTACGTCTGTGGACAGAAACATGATTAATCATCACGAATTATTAAAATGTTCTGCAGCAAATGATTGTTTACCAACCTTTTTCGTTTCCTAGCATTAACATGAAGTTCCTCTTCATCATCTCTGTCCATGCTGTTGGGATGTGGATCGGATTCTCTTCTCTTTTGGCGTTCCTTCACCTCCTGTTTGCGTTGTTCCGCTTTTTCCATACGTTCGAATGCTTTCATTATGGCTTCCATTTTCCGTTCCTCTCGAGTCTGTAACATAAGAATTTGTTAAAACACGTTTTGAATGTTATTTATTGTGTGTTAGTTATTGTGTTATTTCGAATATTTACCATTTTCTTCTTATCTTTCTGGCTGGTAGTGGTAGGCAGTTTGTCCTGGGAGTCGTCAGTTTTGTCATCTAGAGAGTCCTGGTTGGTGCAGGTCCTGCTGGAGCGAGCAGACCTGTCGTGGCAGGCGGACTTTGCCACAACTTCTTTTCTTTCTTCTTTAATGACAGGCTTTTCTTCCTCTATTTTAGGTTCCTTGGGCTTTTTAACTTCCATAATTTCTTCTTTAACTTCCTTTGGTAATATTTTGTCTATTTTAATGCTGGCTTCCTCTTTTATGATTTCCATGAGTTCCTCTTTGACGGGTGTCGATGGTGCCGGCGCCGGTGGTGATGCTTGTTCGACTGGTGGTGGAAGAACTGACGGAGATAGCGCCGGCGTTGGTAGGATTGGAGGTGGTAGGATTGTCGGTGGTAGGATTGGCGGTGGAAGGATTGGCGGTGGGAGGATTGGCGGTGGGAGGATTGGCGGTGGGAGGATTGGCGGTGGGAGGATTGACGGTGGAAGAATTGCCGGTGGTAGGATTGGCGGCGGTAGGACTGGTTGTGGTAGGATTGACGGTGGTAGGACTTGTTGTAGAAGGAGTGGCGGTGGCAGTATCGGCGGAGGGGGCAATGGCATTTCCTCCACAGCTGGCTTAATATCAGGAATTAAGTCTTCAGGTTGAATCTGATCATGTTTCATATCAGAATCGACATAATCCGGATCATCTAGCTCCGGCTTCATTTCTTCTTTGGCCATTAAATCTATTTCTGACTTGATATCTTCGAATGTCTCATTTTTAATTGGTTCGTCGAAGCTTAAATTCAGGGTCGTTTTGATTGGAGACAAGGGTGAAAAATCGTGTTTTATAGGTGATCTCTTTTCGGTTTTTACTTGCATAAAAGGTGGCGGACTTTCTTTGATCGGTGTGGTGGGCATAGGGAGGAGCGGCGGGGAGACAGGCGAAGAGGAGCTGTAGCATCTGTTTCTGCTTCGCTTTTCTCTCTGAGGGTAATCGATACTCTTCCTGGTAACTATTGGATTCAAGCCATTCACTTTGCAGTGTTTAGGATTGCCGCAAGCGCAGGGTTGTTTGCCGCCGTTAGTGTCGTGGCCGACGGTAATTTCCGTGTTCGACTGGACGACACCGATGGTCACCAGGTAGACGTGCAGCGCGCCCTTTATGATACAGTGTTGAAGCTCGGCATTAGGTTTGCATGAACGTCTCACGAATCTGGCTTCGTTGCCATACGTCCTGGTATCGATGCATATCTGAGTGTTATCTTTCGGTAGCCTGTAGAAGAATACGAAAGGCCCAGGTTTCTGACTCCCGGCTCGCGCGGTGTTCTGAAGTTGCGGCCTGTGCTGGTTTGACAACATATATTTGCCGCGTAATTCTATCACTGGAGTATTTTCTTTGAGGTCCTTGGTGGCGATCAGTATTTTCCCACCTGCGTGTGGGACGGTGGTACATAAATGTGCGGTAATGGCCGACGCCATGCTCTGGGAGCTACCGAGCTTGCTGCTATATTTCATGATCTTAGCTCTAAGCTCGGGACTATAGTGATTCGTCATAGCGGCTTCATAGGAATCCTGCCAGTGCGATTGATTCGCAAGGCCGCTGTTATATTTTGTTCGGTTAAACATGTCTTTCTTACGTTTAACTCTCTTTTCGGCAAGTTTTCTCTTAGCAACTTTCCGTACCATTTCAGCTTTCTTGGGTCGTTTCGGCCCGCGTTTCGGTAACGCTAATGCAGGTTGCGGCAACGGCGGCAGGACTGGGACATTAGAGTTGTATGTGGTGACACATGAACCGCTCGTGTTTGTATACGTCGTTACGGTAAGTAATCTTTTCCGTCTTTGTCCGGGGAGGTGCGGCGTCTCCGAGGAGTCCGTGTCGGAGCCGGCCAGGGCGCTCAATTCCTCCCTCTTCCTTAGCTGTATGGCACGAGCGTGTCGTCTGTCTATTGGCCGCGGCTGGCAAACCTCGCACATGTAAGCATCGGGTATATTTTGTCTATCTATACCCATGCAATCTACATGCTGCCATTCTCCACATCTATCGCAACAAATCATGTAGCCATCGTCATGAGTGAAATCACAGATACATCGGGTTTTTCCCTCCTCTTCACCTTCGGGTGCCGTTTCTGTGTCACTGCCTCCTCTTGGTCCTTGAGCTCGGTCTCCGTCTATGGAAGATATTACGGAAGCAGCATCATCGTCTTGAGTTGGTGCAGATGGAGTTGGCTTAAATGTAAGAACTCCAGTCTGTGCTGATGTCACTGGCGTTTGAATTACAGCCACACTAGCTGGCACTGTTGGTGGTGGCACTTCAAATGCTGCAGTGGACATTATGACAGGAGAATTTCTTTTCAATGGGCTCATCGGTGTCGTAATGGGTGCTGGAGAGACAATAGCCGGTGCAGATGTCGTAACAGGTGGAGGAGGAGTGGAAACCGTTGGCTGCTTTTGTGCTGGCAATGAGTATGTATGATCCAACATGATAAATGCCAATGCTTGATAAGAATATCTACGGAGTTCTTCTGATAGGTTGGGCCTCTCTTCCATTCCAATTATATCATCTGCTGTAGTTAATGTTGACTTGTCACCGCTGAAAAGAATAGAAATAATATTAAACAAATGATTATGTTTTACAAAACAAGAATCATTATGTTTACTTACAATACAATCCTTTTTTGATTTAAGGGTTTTATTTCCGCAGGCTCTTCAATTATCGGTGGTGGTATAATGGTGTGGTTGACGGTAGGACTTTGATGTAAGACAAGTTTAGGCTGAGACAGAGACTGTAATATCTGTTCAGTAAGTTGTTGATTTGCTGAGACTTGAGATACTGTGGAAAGCTGGTTATCCGATGGTGCATAAGTCTGGACATATCGAAGGTTCGGTGTCGACCCTGATTGGACATAGTGTGGACCCTTAGGAAGGTTTATGTTAAGTGGTGCAGTAGAAAGTAAAACTGGGCCACATGGAGATTGGAGTACTAGGCGATCAGTTTTTGCAACCTTCTGAAATGATAACGGCTGAGTTTTAGGTGCTGGTGTTCCAACTTTTTGAATTATCTTTGAAGGACTCGTTTCCAACACACCAAATGTTTGCTGGTTTTTATATGTCACACTGGCCAAGGGCCATGTTTTTCCTTCAGTTTTATGAGACGCTCCAGCCTGTTGTATTATTTTAATTGCTCTGGATTCCTTTTGACCGGACCCTTGATTTGTGCTCTTGGAACTTTTTAGTGTATTTACAGATTTTCTTCCAGAGTGCACAGACATTTTGTTGGGGCCGGAGACAACGCGCGATAAAATATGGCACTGCGTGTTGCCAGTAGAGACTGCCACCATGGCATTTAAATTAGCACCATTATTAACTTTATTTATTGCCTTATTTAAATTTGTGCTCTTAGTATATGTATGGCTATAAGAGACATTCTTAATAGGACTATTATTTATTATAGTAGGTGATAGAGATGAACAGCCAATGAGGGACTGGCTTTTAGGAGGTTTTATGTTCAACACAGAATTGTTCAAATGCTTTTGTGTAACAACATTTGCACTCAATTTATAAACATGATTTTGTGTTCCATAAACAGGAGTTGTGAACTCCTTATCTTGTGATATAAATTGCTGAGAAAAAGTAGGACTCTTTGGAAGAGAAATATTGCTCAATATCTGAACTTTGGATGCCTTAGGTCGGGCGATATAATTAGTTTCAATAATATTAGTTCTTCTGCCTGCCTGATTCGTATCATTAACATAACTTTCACTGGTAATTATTATTTGAGATACACCAGGTCTTTCATCATCATTCTTAATATCAGGAGCGGCACTGGTTGTGAGAATAGTGGGTAACCATAATGTCTGGCTCCCCGAAGCATCTTGTGCGACATTCTGTATTGCAGTTATATTACCTACTGCGGCATCTACATTAATTGTAAAGTTTTGAGGGAGTTTGGCAACATTCTGCATTATTGCCGTGTTCAATGGGGCCTGGATTAATGTAGTAGCATTTTCTACATAGTTTGCATCTCCTGAATCCTCTGTTTCTTGTAATATTGGATATGCAATGCGGCCCACATTATCTAGCGTAGTTTCTTCTATTCTTACAATTCTGGACAAAGATTCAACAGACATTTCGGTATCACAATGTTTATCATTAATACGAAAATCTACTTCTTTATCAACTTTATGTATAGATTGAATAATACTCTCTGGATTCGTTGAATCAGGTTCAGGATCGCCTTCCAAAGGCGAAAGAGGTACCGGCCTTAAAACTGGAGTTCTAATGCTCGATACATTCATGTTATCTGTTAATTTGTGTTCCAAAACATGCTCATACATATTTTCACTGGAGGTGGTCGGCCCGTAATCCTATAACAAATTATTCCATCATTAACCATTGACATTTATCATTTTTATAATCATTTTCAATGTTTAAACTTACAGTACTATAAAATATAAATAGTGTTGTGTATTCAATGAATGCATTATCATACAATAGCAGTTTATGTAGTACATTAACATGGGAACCCTATCAAATTGCCCTCATTCAGCCTAATATTTGATAATGTTACACTTCAGTGGCACACACAAATTTAATACTAAATATTCAACATACTACTCACCAACATTCAGCCGCAATAATACAAAAATACAAACTAAAGAAGGTATAATATAATAAACACAGTTTTATTTCTAAAAAATCTTTATTTCATGTGATATATAACCAAATTATGTAGCTCATGTAATATGAAATGTGACTGTAAATGGATTAAATGGTATGATAACATTCACAAAAAAGTGTTTTAGGTAGATGTTAAATAAAATCTCCCTGAAGGTCAAATAGAAGAAAGCAATGATATTTATGGTAAATTAGATTGTACTTACTTGCCGGGCCGTAGATTCATATTCTGATGTAGCTGACATGCTGTGAATACCATCTTGGGTCGAGCCCCAGATGACGCGTCGGAGAGCCCCTGGGCCTCCGAACTTATTTACGTGACTGCAATCGAAAATCGTCTTTTTACCCTCACGTCTTCGTTATCCTCACAATAAAGCGGGCTGAACATCTTTACGTTCATAGCTAAATATTTTTAGTCCACAAATACTATAAGACTGTCGAGGTCATTGTTCCAGAAAATAGTCGAAAGTCTCTCTATTTCGCTTCCTACGGGAAAATATAAAGAATAACACAAAAATAAATCGCAATAGAGGCGATGGAACGCCTAACGAGAGACAAATAAATAGATAGGTTAAAATTCACTGCCGCCATTATTGTGGTACGAAAACTGAAATGTCTCTAAACATCAAAAAAGTAAACACTAACCTAAAACTGAAAATTGCAATGAAAATCAATGGAAACTATATAAAAACAGTCGTAATAACTATCTTATTATGCTAACTAATTCCGCTTAGCAACAAAGAAATGAAAAATATAAGTACATGCTAGAATGAGGTTCGAGTATTAATAACATCCTAACTAAAACTATACTGAATTAAATATTAAAGACTTTCTTTAAAAACAAGAGACATGAAAAACAAAGTGCTTATTTTATTGTAAAGTTGGATACATTACAATGGTTATGCTATGAAATCCAGATGTAAACACTTTCTGAGAAAATACTTCAAAAAATTAGTACTAACCTTTACGTAAACGAAATAATAACACCTATGATACAGCGAAACCGTTTTTGTCAAATAATTGCATAGCACATACGAAAAAGGCCTCAAAGTCCGAAACTACGACCAAAACATTCACAAGACTCGAAGATGGCGGCCATTGCATTTTCTTGATACAAAACAACGGGGGGTTTCACGGATCATGTCTAAATACCTAGCACTTCCGGTCAAATGAAACATTTTTCTTTAAGATATCTTGATTACCACCCTATAATTTGTTACAAACTTAATAAACAATTTTTTAAATACTATTTATGAGTATCACGTAAGAAAATACTTATTTTACTTTAAAACATTTGTTATGAAGATAAAAGGATATAAACGAAAACCGTTTTCATAGAGATGAATTACTATTTTCTTTAAGATTGCTTGTCTATGCCTTTTTCATAGATATTTTTAATTTTTGGTCTTAAAATTAAAAACATAGACACTTATGGTCTACATGTTTTTATTATTTCATTTTAAAATTAATTTTTCTAGCATAGTTTTTTGTTAGTAACACTAATACATTTCAATTAAACGATTTATACAATCATAATGTAATATTTCTGTCAAGTCTAAATATTGGACATTAATGTACAACAACTTTTTCATCTTATCGTCCTAACTTTATCCCAGAACTTCTCTAGTTACAGTTGTCTTCATTAGTGCAAAAATTGTAGTGAAGGAGTATATTAAAAGTATAGCAATATTTGGTAATATTCAGTGGTTTACATCAGTTTACATGGTACCATAGGAGTTAATTGTGTTTACTACATCAGCTTCATATTTGAAAAGATTTTAAGAAAAATGAATTCTGATATAATACACTAACTTTCGGAATTATACATGAACAATTAAAACACGGAGCTTCAAATACAAATTAAAGCTTTTGGGTTTAGACCATAAACAATAGCATACCGAGGTAATATTACTTTTTTATACTCTTTAACATGTAAGCAAAATCAAAACTGGGCAACACAGCGACACACTGTCATCTGCCACAGTCATATGTCAGAGCACGTTTTATTTTTGGGAAGAGGTTATTTTGCTATTGTGGTTTCGAAATATAATTAGAAATGAATGACTTTGTATTAAACGATAGTGAATCAGACGTCGACTCTGACGAAGAGGTATGTTTTTGTTAAACGATAAGTTATTCACACCAAAAATACACTATAATAAATACATGTGTGTATATTTTGTATGTTTGGTTTGCGTTTTGCGCAATGTGTATAAATTTAATTTTAATTTTGTAAGCTCTCTCTGCGATAGTCATTATTTTTGTTGTCATAAAAAGTTTCTTGTTTCCAGTTACAAGAAGCTTTTGCTAAAGGTGTTCTCAAACCTGGACTAAATGAAGAAATCGAGAAAACCGTCAAAACGTATGTTAATAATGTTGCGGAATTGAAGGCGAAGCTAAAAGAAATAGAATTAAAATTACCATGGGTAGAGAAATTAGACTTAACTACCACAGTAGCACCAATGGCCCCAGATGTAGCGCTGCAGATGGAAGAAACAGCTCAAAGAAGAAAGTAAGTTTGCAATTTGTATAAGCAGTTATACCCTAGTTTTAGAGTAGCTGTTGTAATTTGTAAGGTAATGTAGCATTACTTGTAATATTTAATATATTTCTTATTACAGAAATATAAAAGAAAACTCAAAAGGGAATCAGAAGTATGACCCAGCACAAGATCCCATACTTAACGAGTTTAAAAGAGAGAATCTTATTCACCGGCAGGCACAAGCTGCGGTTATTGATGGCATTAACAGGTTGAAGGATCTCAATGTACCCACAAGAAGGTATATATACCAAAATAATTAAAACTTTTATAGGATATTTTTACAAGCTAAAATGGTACATGAAATTTTTATAATATTCAGTGTTTGTGTTATTCTTTAATAAGTAAAGTCTTCTAAAGTTCTCTATTACTTAATATAAACATGATTTGCATCTGCACTAAAACTAAACATGGCTAATGTTACTCAGCCATAAATACTTTCTAATGGCAAAAGAATTTTTATAATCAGCCCAGTGATTTTTACTTTGTTTACTACATACACATATATTGAAAAATGATTTTTAAGTCCATTCACACTTTTAGCAATACATTTATGTTTTAAGTTTTATTTTACTCATTGTTCTATTGATAAAATCCTTTATTTTAAATATGTCAATATGTCAACCGCCATATTGTAAAGGTGGCCATCTTGGATTTTTTAGTGTACCATACTTTGCTGGAAAATTCCTTTCATATGATAGCCATGTTAGGGTTGTACTAAAAAGTTGAATATGTCATCTGACATATTGTAATAACAACCATCTTGGATTTTTACTGTACACATCTTGACAAGCCCTTTATTTGATTATAAAAATGATTCAAATATAATTTCCAGACCGGATGACTTCTTTGCGGAGATGGCCAAGTCTGATGAGCACATGCAGAAGGTCCGCAAGAATCTGATGGCGAAGCAGGCGGCGCAAGCTCGCACTGAGAAGGTGCGCCAGCTCAGGGAACAGAAGAAGATTGCCAAGAAAGTGCAGGTAATGGACTTTTTCCTTCCACCTGTGACTATCTGTGGGAAATTAAGAAAAAACATTAGTTTATCCACTTTTTTAGACAGATTGTGTCAAAGGCTTTAAATAGTCGATTTCAATTAAAATAAGAAAAATAGTTATTTGTAATGTTGTAATCACAAATTATGAACAAAATATATTTGTATGGTCAATTTTAACACGAAAACTTGTCATAATTAAGCCATAGACTAAAGAAGCCAGTGAATTTTGTATATAATTTCTCATTTCTACCGAATTTAACTCATAATTGATATTTTAATTACAGATTGACACTAAACTAAAACAAGCAGCAGAGAAGAAGCACATGTTGGAGCAACTAAAACGTGTCAGGAAAGGAAAATCGACTGATTTAGATTTCTTAGAAGATAACAAAGGCAAAGGGAATAAAACAAACAGCAAAGATCCTAGAGCCAAAGTGTCAAAGAAACGAGCCATGAAAGACAAGAAATTTGGCTTCGGAGGTAAAAAGAAAGGATCGAAACTGAATACACGTGAATCTACAAATCAAATGGACGACTTCAATAGTTCGGGAAAGAAAAAACCATTTAACTTTAAAACTAAGAATTTCAAACCTAATAATAAGAAAAATCAAAGACCCGGCAAATCAAAAAGACGCAATGCTAAGAGATAAATCTGTGTTAATAAAGTTAATTTTTATTAATTTTGGTATTTCATTTACTCAACTATAGTTTAAGAGCGCGCGCACTCCTTTGACTAAACTATCATACAGAAATACCCATAGGAATCAATGCAAGACTAAACAGTTGTGCGATAGTTTAGTAAAAGGTGTGTGTACCTTATCTTTTGTCTAAATAAGGATGATTAGTTTGATAACTCAATAGGGATGGGTGCAAAATCAGGTATGAATTTTTTCGATTATCGACATTTACTCTCAGGAGTTGGAATCAATAGATTCATAGTTATAACTTATGGATTAAAATAAATACACTGTTTCATTCGGTTATTCAAAGTAAACTCAATAGAAGGAAATACAGAACAAATACAAAGAATGAGAAGTGAGAGTAAATAGATGTCTATTACTAATACCCTATCACTATATTCACTACCAAAACTTTCTTTATTTATTTAATAAGTAAACAATTGTAGTTCAATATTTTCTTATGAATATCGATAGTTTTGATTTGTTAGCTAAATGCCTATGTGCCGTCACTATGATACCTGTTATTCAGTACAGTATTTAAATACAAATTTTATTCGATACTTTATAAACGTGATTTATAAAACTAACCAATCTTAGACAGACTACACCTATACTAGCTTTCGCTTGCATGAAATTAAAAAAGAAAACTAACCTATCTGTTCTTCCATACTATCCTCTACATCTATACTAAATTTTATCGAGAAACTTTTGAGCTGTTTAGGCGACAAAATTTTTACAAACATTCATCGAAACAAACTTCCGCTTTTATATTAGTAAATTTCAAATTTTAAATGAAATTTGTAGTTTAAGCTTGTCCTTTTCATTTAAAACTGTTACATATTATATTTTACCATCGTTTGCATTTTGGTAGAAATAAATCTCTATTTTATTAGGAAAAAATATTTTTCCCTTGAATAACAATATCCAGATTATAAGAAAATTTAATTTTCAATATGAACTCATAGAAAAATAATTGAGGGTAGTTGAAAAAAAAATGAAACATAATATATCGGGAATAAAAATATATTTATTCACTTGCGGCCCTTGCCCTTCTTCTTGTGCTGCTGCTTGCGCTGCCAGCCGCTGTCGGCGGGCCGCGGGCTCTTGACCGCCGCGCCCCCAGCACCCCCTGCGCCCGCCGCGCCCCCTGCGCCCCCCGCGCCCGCCGGGGACGCGCTCACCGGCTGCTTGCTCATGTCGCTGGAATACAATTATGTTACAAGAAGTCCCTAGTATTGCTTGTAGCCATTGGTGAAAAACTACCGTTAATGGTGATGGCAATTCCTTTTTCGTTAAAAAAAGGTTTTCAATGTATTCTTCCCCTAAATTAAATAGCGTGAAAATAGTAAGGTGTCGTAATCTTAGGAAAAATTTTTTTTTTTATTAATTCCTAAATAATTAAAAAAAAAATCTGTGTTTGCTGACATCCTACCTAGTAGTGTTTACGCTTTGTTATATTAGTGCTAGCTTCCGCCTGCGACTCCGTACGAGCAGAATTTAAAAAAAGTAAGTGTAAGTAGTGTACGCTTATGTGTTCTTCCAGACTATAGTCTACATATACTGAATATTATCAAGATCCGAACAACAATTTAGGCCACAAACATCCATTCAAATTTTGTAATTATGTTTTTAGACGTGTATGTATACTGACTACTGGTCGACGGCGGCGGTGGTCATGCCCTGGCTGCCCTTGATGACGTCACGCCGCACGCCGCGCCGCTTGCGGTACGCCGCGCGCTCGTACTTCGGCAGCCATCTTTAAAACACATTTATTATATATACACTATCTATTTTATTTAAAAACCTACCTGTTCTTATGCGGAATCATCCATTTGACAATATTAATAACTTATATTGTTTAGATTTGTAAAACTTTTAATAAAAACACAGGCATTTGCTATTAGCTAACATTACTATAGCAACATTTACTTTCCTGCTATTGGCTTGTAGTTTTTGTCCTTTTCTAGCATGAACGTTTTTTCCAATTTATTTAACCCCTAATTCAAGTATTTAAAAAAAAGAATAATCCAAAAACATGCTGTGATTGCTGATATTTTACATAACAAAGCGTGTTTACGCTTTATTATGTAACTAGCTATCCCGTGCGACTTCATCCACATAAAATTATGAAAATCTTATTTTATTGTTTACATGTGTCAAATTATGAATTGCAAATGTCAAAATGACAATGACAAACTTTTTCAATCTTGCTTCCTTGATGTTGGCAGTAACTTATGGTCACTTTCCCACATTGGGGTTTTTCCAAAATATTTACCCCCTAAGTTTAATTGCGTGAAAATAGATAGCCTAAAGCGTCACGTAAGTGTAGGGCTTTTTATTAAACAAAGAATCATTCAAAAACATGCTGTAATTGCTGACATCTTAGGCAACAAAGAAGTATGTTTACGCTTTATTATAATAGCATAGATATAGATAGAAAATTATTGGATAATAATGTTTTATTTTAAGTACATTTGTAAAGAGGTTTCTCCATTTTGTATTTTATATTTACCTTTCTGGATCCGGAGGTTTGGAGAGGTCAGCGTTGGGAGGCAGCTTGCTCTTGCGTTTCCTTTTCTGTTTCTTGGTCACTCCCAGCTCGGAACCGGGAGTTCTAGAAAAAATTAAGTGGTATTGTTGAAGATGTATTTTTAAATGCCTTTTCATATTTTTTTAAGAAACTACTGATATTGAATTTGTAATTTAATATCATATCCTACAATTATCATTTACGAGCTGTTGCCCGCGACTTCGTCCGCGTGGTATTAGAAAACATACGTACTATATAAATTACAAAAAGCTACGTATCCCTCGGGAACCGGACATTTCCCTGGGATGAAGCTTATCCCATGTGTACTCCAAACTTTGTTTTATATCTGTGCCAAATTTCAATAAGATATGTTGAACCGTTGCAGAATAATCGAGTAAACATTAAAAAACTAAATTAATGAATCCCACGGGAACCGTAACTATTCCCGGGATAAAAGTAGCCTATGTGTTCTTCCAGACTATGCTCTAAGCCTGTGCCAAATTTCATAGAGATCCGTTCAGCCGTTTGACAAGAAAAGACAAGTTTAACAAGGCTACAAACGCTAACAAACATCCACCCATCCATCTATCCATCCATCCATCCATCTAAACTTTCGCATTTATAATATTAGTAAGAAGTAAGATAAACTACTAAGTTCTACCACAGAAGTGAGAAGAGTTGGTAATTTTTAATTTTAAAGGTGGTCGGCACATATAGTTCAATGTTTTTTTTACGCCGCCATCCCTTATAGGTATTAAGTAGAAACTGTTAAGTAACATGTACTTACCCTGGCGATTGTTCCTGTTTGCTTTGAACCGTTTTCTTTACGACCTTGGCTCCCATCATCCATTTAGATGATTCCAGAGCTTCGATGTCGATTGTTCCCTGTTATAAATTATAACATATTAGTTAATAATATTATTGAAGAGGAAAATAGTACTATACCCTTGATTATGGCGCAGTGATGCTAAAATGTAAATGCTAGAAATTGCTGAGACGAAGAGATTTATTTGCGGGCATATACCCCAAGCATTTATTGCACTATCCCTATACGTCACTACCCACCATTGCCTCTGCTTTCAAGTGACCTAGTGCCCTCCACTGGCTCTACCTGCCTCCCTCCCATCATTTACCTTTTACTGATTTCTACAACCATTCACTAATTTGATTTGACCTTCACTTATTTTAGCTGACCTTCATTGCCCTAAGTTTCCCTTTATTGACTTTAACTGTCATTCACTAATTTCATCTGCCTTACACTGATTTCAACTACTTTCCACTAATTTTAATTATCCGGTGGTGATGTTGATTGTGTTGTGTGTATGCAGTACGTTCAGCACGTGTATTATGCGTGTAGCACGTGTGTAGTGTCTGTTGCATACCTACATGTAGTGCGTATAGTACTGCAAGTCGCATGTGTAGTCTGTGTGTGTACAGTATGTGTAGTGCGTACTACTTGTATTGCGTGCAGTACGCCTAGTGCGTGCAGTACGTGCTGTACATGTAGTGCGTATAGTACTTGTAGTATGCATAGTGTGTGTAGCGTGTAGTACGGGTGCAGTGCGTGTAGTTCCTGTGTAGTCCGCGTTACACATGTAGTCGGTGTATAGTGCAATGCGTATAGTACGTGTAGTGCATGTAGAGCGTGTGTACTGTGAGTCGCATGTGTAGTATGTGGTGCGTATAGTACGTGTAGCATGCAGTACGTATAGTACGTGTAGCATGCAGTACGTATAGTACGTGTAGCATGCAGTACGTATAGTACGTGTAG